TTCTCCTTATTTACATTTTTCAGGCTGTGTCATTCTTTGGAGTCTCCCTAATGTGTAAAGTCATATTTCCTCTGTCCTAAAATAGTCTCTTTTATGCCTCCAGAAGTTCACTTTGGGTCTAGGGTTATGGAATTGTATTATTAAGTCTGTTTATTTTAGCCAGGCTCTTAGTGATTATATTGATTTCAATTATATATATATATATTTTTCATTCTGAAGACCTAGTGCATTGACTATATTCAGTTTATACTTTGACTATTTAGTTCTGTTTCTAGATCTTCTTTACCTCCATCCAGCATCCATCACAGGGGCTCCTGTTTTGAACCCAAATCTATGCTTAGGGCATGGGGTAAAAGAAATAGCCATAATGTCACAGAATATTTCCTACACACTATTATTTCAAATAGGGGAACCACTCATACTCCAACCACCCTAAGAAAATAATTACTTTCACTGTCTACATGCAACTTTTAAAAAATGAATATATGCAAAGTAAGTATAAGTGTGGTGAGGAACACACCAGCCCTAAGCACACTGCCCTGAACTTGTGCATGTTGGACGTCATTTTCAATGCACAGTGGATGGTGTGATCAACCCATCTTTATGTTCCATGTAAATTTGTTTTATTTTTGATAATGAAGCTTGGAGAAATGATTCTTGAAGCATTATAACAGCTTTGACTGACAGCTCCCTTAGTGCTGTCTCTTTCACAGCAAGCATAACTGACAGCTTGCAGGTGGAGAACACATGTAGATAGATTGAGTCCGTAATGGGGGGAAAACAAAGAAGATATTTGTTCTATTTGTTATTTATTAAAATTCAACTAATATGGTAAAATATATGCATCTTGGCAGAATAGATTTAATTTGTAGGCTGAGAGGGTTTTCTGTTATGGAAGCTTGATATATAGCAATTATGTACTAAAATTACTTCTCATAAATATTTTCAAACTCCAGTGAAATTTACATTACTCTTTTTCATACCCATGAATACCGTTTATTTAGCTGGGTATGGTCTAGATAATTAAAGACTTTTCAAGTTGCATATTTAAATTCCATTCAAGTTATCTTTTGTGGGCACCTGCCTGTGTAGATTAAGTTAGAAACCTTGTCACATTAAAACAAGAATTCTGCAATGCCACTTGTAGGTATAGACCCGAAATAATTGAATGCAGGGACTTGGACAGATACTTATGCACCCACATCCATAGCAGCATTGTTCACATCAGCCCAAAGGTGGAAACAAACTCACGTGTCTGTGGACAGATGGATGGATAAGCAAAATGTGATATATGCAAAGAAATATTTACTTAGCTTTAAAAAGAAATGAAGTTCTGATACATGCTACATTGTGGAAGAACCTTGAAGACACTATGCTAAGTGAAATAAGCACAGTCATCTAATGATGAGGAGCACTGGCAGGAGCAGCGATGCCACCCTGTGTGCCTTGTTCGTGGCTTCATTCCCCTCCTCCCTGGATATTCACTGTCCTGAAGTTTGGGTGTATCATTCTCTTGCTTTTCTTTATTGTTTTAATACATATAAATAAATCCTTAAACAATATATTGCTTGGTTTTTGAACGTTATATAAATGGAATCATACTATGTAAGTATATGTGTCTGTTTTTCCTTCCTGGTGAAACACATCCATATTCATATGTGTAGTTCTGATCTATTTATTGTCATTTTTCTATGGTGCTCTTATCCACCCATCCTCTTATCCATAGACAGATATGTTTGTTGTTGCAAAATTTCTGTGCAAGAATTTCTACAATGTATACACCTAGGAATGTAATTGATGGATTGTAGGGTTTGCTCATCTTAACTTTAGGTCATTGATTCATTGATTGATTTCAGGAGAGCTGTACCAATTTATTCCCCCACAAGCAGCATCTAACAGTTCCTGCTATCACACATCTTAGCAACACTTGCTGTTAGCCCAACATTTTGACTCTCCTATGTTTATATTACCAGGTGACTTTAGAACCAAATCCTCACATTGGATGTGACTCCACCATATTGGACTTTAAGGATCTGATGCTTGATGCCTATGCCATGCTCAGTAAATGACAGAAAAATTAAATGAATCTAGCCCAGCCAGTGTGGCTCAGTGATTGAGTGCAGACCTATGAATGGTTCGCAGGCTCAATCCCCACTAGGGTGTGTGCAGCCATTCAATGATTCTCTCTCATCATTGATGCTTCCCTCTATTTCTCCCTCTCCCTTCCTCTCTGAAATCAATAAAAATATATTTTAAAAATGAAATGAATCTAAGCTTTAGGTGTCTGGTAAAATTATGGATTTTTCATATTTTAAATGTTTATCAAATTATTATTCTAATCATTCCTTCTTCTCCTAATTATGTACCCAATATCAACCTATTAATGGTGTATCTGTCCCCAAACTCAAAGGCTACACAGGAAATGTAATGCAACAGTCCACGTGTTGCCCATAGAAGTGGGAAATGTATTATATTTGCTTTACTGTAATCTAATAAAAAACTGTAACATGAATTTTAGAGAGAAAAAAATAAAGAATAAAATCTGCAAAATTCTTAACCTAATTTCAGTACTTAACATAGTTCTTATATGTTCCAACATACTTATTTAAAAAATGGTATAACCTTCCCCCAGTGCCTGTCAACCCCGCTTCTATGTCATGGTGGGCACAGCACTTCTTGAAGCTCCATGCCCATGGCCACTAGACTCAAGAGGCCCACTTTCAACTCCTGCTCTTCCTCCTTCACAGAACAGATGAGGGGATGCGTGGCATCAGTGAAAATGTTTCTACATGCAAGAGGTCTGCAGTAAGCATTAGCTTCTGGGATGACCTTTTCATCCAGCATTTTGTGAGACTGTCTAAAGAAAGGAAGGGCCCTGAAATTAACAGTTATTTTGCTTGAGTCCAGGGCACTAGTCAGCTTGCAAAGGCATTTATAAAGGCATGAAATATTTTCAAGGTGACTTTCCAATGACAGTCACGAGAAAGCTACACAGAATCAAATTCAAACCTCTCCTATCAAAACCCATTTCAGAATTACATTCAAAGGACACATTTCAAATCTGTGGACTCATGTTGGATTCAAAGAGATGTGCCATAATTGGAGCAAATCTTCAAGATTGACCTTACTGCAGCGGTTCTCAACCTGTGGGTCGCGACCCCTTTGGGGGTCGAACGACCTTTTCACAGGGGTTGCCTAAGACCATCGGAAAACACATGTATAATTACATATTGTTTTTGTGACTAATCACTATGTGTTAATTATGTTCAATTTGTAACAATGAAAATACACCCTGCATTAGATATTTACATTACGATTCATAACAGTAGCAAAATTACAGCTGTGAAGTAACAAGGAAAATAATTTTATGGTTGGGGGTCACCACAACATGAGGAACTGTATTAAAGGGTCGTGGCATTAGGAAGGTTGAGAACCACTGTCTTAACTGAAGAGAAACTAAAGAAAAGTAATATGAATACACAATTGTGACTGCCATCATAACTGAACGTGTGCTGGTCTAGAAGACTCCGGGGTGGTCTGCAAACCTAATCAAGTAGGAAGCCAACAGTTTTGGGGCTGCCACAGTCATAAACTATGAACAGGTGAACATGGATGACCAGCTGGGACACCTGCAAAGACGGTAGTGTGACCTGGCAGGGGTGGAAACCTGCAAGTCCTTAAAGCAGGGGTCCTCAAACTTTTTAAACAGTTCACTGTCCCTCAGACCGTTGGAGGGCCAGGCTATAGTTTAAAAGAAAACTATGAACAAATTCCTATGCACACTGCACATATCTTATTTTGAAGTAAAAAAAACAAAATGGGAACACATACAATATTTGTATTTGCATGTGGCCCGCGAGCCGTAGTTTGAGGACCCCTGCCTTAAAGTCTCAAAAAGAATGGCTCCTGTTGAATGGGTGGGAAACAGCATCAACCATGAATATTCTGGAATTGTGCAGCAGATTACTACAGACCGAAGTCAGCAGAATAGAGCCCCTTGAATCCTGGAAAAAATGGAGCTTCGAAGCAGTTCATGCAGCATTACTGCCCGTGCTGGGCAACCAGAGGAGGAAGTGTGCTAGGTTTGAAGATCATGGACTAATCCGTTTCAGGCTCATGCTGAGCCAGAAGCTATAGCCACTGGCCTCCCCTGAGTTGGTGCACTGAGCTTCCTGAGTGATGGCCAGGCCCCGTCTATCAGCCCATCGCACACTCGAGAAACCTGTCACTAGGGCTGCTGCACCATTTCCTGTTTCTGTTGACTTTTTAAATAAATCTCATTTGCCAATTGAAAAAAATATGGTATATATTCTGCTTCTACAAACTTATTTGCTTGTTTCTACTTAAACTTCCACAATTATATTAAAATTTTTTTACAATGTATAGAAACTATTATTTAGAGATATATATTGGGTGGGGGGGGGAGGCTGAATGAAAAAAGGTAAAGGGATTAAGCAAAAAATAGATATATATATATATAACACAGACACAATAGTATGGTGGTAGTCAGTGGATAGAGCGTGGGCCTGCAGACCTAAGGGTCTTGGGTTCGATTCCAGTCAAGAGTACATACCTTGGTTGTAGGTTCCTCCCAGGCCAGGGCCCTGGTGGGGGCCGGTGCAGGAGGCAACCAATCCATGTATTTCTCTCACATCAATGTTTCTCTCTGTCTTTCCCTCCCTCTTCCGCTCTCCCTAAAAAAGATCAATGGAAAAATGTCCTCAGGTGAGGATTAACCAAAATAAATAAATAAATAATACATACATAAATAAAATAAATCAGAAAAAGAGAGCAATCATTAGCTCAAAATTCAGACCATGAAGTCTGATGTTTGAATTGAAAAAAAAAAAAGACATCTATTTTTGTTATTGTTAATCCTCACCTGAGGATATTTTTCCAGTGATTCTTTAGAAAGAGTGGAAGGGGGAAGGAGAGACAGAGAAACATTGATGTGATAGAGACACATGGACTGGTTGCCACCCCCACTTGCCCCTGTCCAGATGGGGTTTGGGATCAAGCCTGCAACCAAGGTATGTATGTGCCCTTGACCAGAATCGAACCCAGGATTCTTCAGGCTGATGCTCTATCAAGTGAGCCAAACTGGCTAGGGCAAGACATCTACTTCAATAACCTATAACCTTTGGTTCCCGGACCTCTGTCAATTTGATGTAAGTTTCACTATCCTAAAAGGTAACAAAAGCTCTGACCAGTCTGGCTCAGTAGATGGAGCATCGGCCTGTGGACTGAAGGGTCCCGGGTTCGATTCTGGTCAAGGGCATGTACCTTGGTTGTGGGCACATCCCCAGTAGGAGTGTGCAGGAGGCAGCTGATCGATGTTTCTCTCTCATCGATGTTTCTAACTCTCTATCCCTCTCCCTTCCTCTCTGTAAAAAATCAATAAAATATATATTTTTAAAAAAGGTAACAAAAGAAAGAACAGAGTGAGCTTTTTGTACAACTAAATGCATTCCATTTAAAGGACTGCTCTTTATTCTGAGATTATGTCAGTTCTACCTTTTTAATGTTGAAATGTTCTGCGATTTAAGAAATGATAATAGATGGTATTTACTTGATAACTTTGTATGACTTCAGATTTTCTGTATGTCTGTGGTTTAATTTTACTGGTCCTTCAAATCTAAATGTTTAGGAATCCTTTCAGAGCCCTTGACTACATCATTTACTATGTATTCCGTGTAAAGCAACCTGGAGCTACTGCCCGGAGGACCAGAGTCCCAGAAGGAAAAGCATACCCATCTCTATTTAACTTAATTCTACTTACTTAATTCTGATTGGGTTTCAAGTGAGGCTCAGTACCCACACTATGGGGAGTGACGTGCAAAGATGAGTAAGGCAGCATTTCGTCCTCACCGGTGTCCAGCAGGGCCTGGTAGCGTGATTACAGTAAAAAAACAACGGA